TTTGTTCCCCTTTATTAATAAAAAAATTAAAAAATTAAAAAAATAAAATAAAATAAAAAAAAAGTTGATTGGCCGATGGTCAGGCAAAAGTATAGGCGGAGTGATCAAATGGAGGAGAAAGAAGGATGGAATCAGAGAAACAAGATAAATGTGCCATGATAATAAAGGTACTGCCACGTGGCAGAGTGTAAATTTACAACGTAGGAGCCAGTTAGTAATAAGCCTGAGCTATTGGCCAAGCTTTTATAAAATACTAAGCTTTTGTGTGGTAATATGAAAGTGGTTCCCATGACAGAAAAACTCCACCTACAAATACCCATTCACATAAAATTAAAAAAATAATAACAATAAAAGATTTTGAAAATGAATCCTTCCTACCTGAGTTGTTTCTGCCAGGCTCTTTGGTCTCAGTGACATAAAAGTAACTCATGGTCCTGGCCGTTACATGCACACACACATACCTTTATACACACACACACATACACACACACACACACACACACACACACCACTGATGCATGCTAAGTTGAAATCATGCCAAGTGAATGAAGCCAGATACCCACATAAGATGATTCCATGATTCCATTTGCATGAAGTATCCAGAACAGGGGCAGAGCACAGAGGGAGACTTCTTTTTTTTTTTTTTAATTTCCTTTTTTTAAAAAAATATTTATTTATTATGTATACAATATTTTTTCTGTGTGTATGCCTGCAGGCCAGAAGAGGGCACCATACATCATTACAGTTGGTTGTGAGCCACCATGTGGTTGCTGGGAATTGAACTCTGGACCTTTGGAAGAGCAGGCAATGCTCTTAACCACTGAGCCATCTCTCCAGCCCAACTTTTTTTTTTTTTCTTTAGACAGGCTCTTTCTTTGTAGACCTGGCTGTACTGGAACTCACTATCTAAACCAAGCTGGCCTCGAACTCTCCATAATCCTTTGCCTCCTGAGGGCTGGAACTAAAGATGTGTGTCACCACCCCTGACTGCAGTTCATATTTAATGTCTGAAAGTTAATTGTGAGGTCTGCACACTTTTGTGATTGTGCTATGTCCTACTGAATTGTACTCTTCAAAAGAGTAAAATTTAGAACTTGAGTTATCTCTTACTAAAGCTATTGTTTTTCAAAATGAGGAAGGAGGAAAAAAAAAAAAACCTGAAAGGCTAAATTGTGAGGCCCGGGCACAGTCTGAGGGCAGTGACAGCGAGACCTGGAATGAAGGCCAGTCTGCAACAGGAGATCTTTTGGAGACCTGAAGCCCCCACTACACAGAGCTAGGTCTGTCCTGGGGAGGAGTGGGCCCCAGTATAGCAGAGAGAGCAGTGAACCAAGAGGCGGCTGGAAGAGAAGCCTGGCGAATTCTGGGGGAGAATTAGTGGAGTAAAGCCATCTGACCATGGAGGACAGAAAACTAAGCTCTTAGGTGGAGACCCAGAGCTATTTGAAGGTCAGTGCATATCTCACAATCATGAAAGCAATGCCGAAATAAAATCGACCTAGTAAGAGCATGCGTGAGGGATGGAAAAAGGTAGGTGCTAGAATCCGAAGCTGATTACATCTGTTCATAGCTTAGGTGTGGGAAGGGGCAACAAAACAAAACTGAAAATGTATCTTTGACTTTGGCTGCTAAGTGGCATGATAGGTGAATGGTGAATGCAGAGGATTTAAGAAGAATTCGTGCTAAGGCCTGGTCCCAGTAGTTGAAGCATTTCCAATGACCTAAGGCGCTGTGTTACGCCACTTGAAATGTTCCTCCCAATAACCCGATTGTTTTTCCTTATACTGAGGATTGAACTCAGGGCTTTGAACATACTAGACAAGCACTTTACCACTGAGTTACATCCCCAATTCTCATTTGGTTGTGGCCCTTGTTTTGTAACTTAGAGTCAGAATCCCACTAAATTGCTCAGGCTGGTCTTGAACTTGCTCTGTAGCCCTGGTAGGACTGGAGCTCATGATCTTCCTAGTAGCTAGGATGAGAAGACTGTTCCCATACCCACTGTGTGAGACTGTGCTTCTCTCTTGCTCTCTTTCTCTCTTACACACACACACACACACACACACACACACACACACACACACACACACAGAGTTTATAACTATTAAGGTTATAAGACCAGATAGGTTACCCGGTTACACAACTCATCCTGAACCACACAGCTAGCATAGCAGGTGGCTTTAGGTCTACATACAGATGGTGGGAAGAGCGATGGAGTCCCTGGACGGGGAAAGAGATGCTGAGGGAAGACTTCAGGGTGCTGGGGAAACCTGAAAAGATTTTGTTAAAAAGGGTGTGGGGGAGGGTGCTCAAGCAATGACTCAGCAAGTAAGAGCTGTTCTTGAAGAGGACTTGGGCTCGATTCTCAATACTTTGGACCTCCGCGGGCACAAGGCACATGTTTGATGCGTGTTTATACACGCGAGCAACGCACACACATAAAATCATATATATCTATGAGATGTTGAACTTGGGGGTGAAAGTTTTATATCCAGTGGGAAAATCTACAGGGCAATCAGAAAACTATGCCTGGCAGTCTTGAGAGAGGATCAGCAGACACAAGGAAGTCATTAAGGCAGAGGTGAACCTTCCCACGTGACACTGCTCCGTGAGAACAGTTTGAGTTCAAGGGTCATCCAAGGTGACTGAGGACAGAGAAGAAAGGACCCGAAGGGTGGGGGGAAATGAGGTCAGTCTAATGCCAGGTGTGGGGGGGGGGGACGACACAGAAGCAGAAAGCATCCATTTCAAGAAAGACAAGGTCATCAGCAGAATCAACTGATGCTACAAGGCTTGGAAGAAGTGGTACACTGTACTAGACAACTCTAGAGATGAAGGAAAAGTTTTTGTTGTTTTTTTGCGACAGGGTTTTTTAGTGTAACAGGCTGGCCTGAAACTCGCTTTGTAGACCAGGGCTGGCCTTGAACTCACAGATATCAAAGGGAGATTTGTTTGGAAAAGTTGAGCAAGAAATAAATGGGGATTTGTGGGGAGAGTGGGAAATAGATTCTTTTCTAAACAAATGAAGCCTGGGTGTGAGTCAAGGGAGGTATGGGGTGGGGGTGGGGGGTCCTGGCAAGCCAGAGGTTAACACAAACCCTTACCAATAAGACAGGGTGGCCTGAGGGCCCCGAACAATTTATACCGGTGGAAAAGCGCTGCCGGACAGAGCAAACCAGAGTCTGAACGTATTGGAACAGATACTGTGGCCACTGGCCAATGGAGGGTGGGGCTGCTCGGGTTATTGTGTGGCTCTGATGGACTCCCTCCAGGAGGTCAGAGCTGGGCGGGGACCTAAGAGGGGAAGGATGTGATTGAAAGATTATTTCAGTACAACTAGGACAGAGGCTCCTAAAAGAAAGCCAGCAGTGACCTCACGCATGCAAATGTGCCTGGCGAACGGAAGCTGGCCTGGGGACAGTGAGGAGGGCTCTAGTTGTGAATGATTAGGAGCTTAGGGATCAGCCTTCCCACCACAGCAACTCCACCTCAGTCCGCGAGCTTGTTAATTGCTGTGCGAGGCTCCTCCCTGATTTCCAGTGTTATTCATTGTCTAGTCGGTTTCTCTTATTTGGAGTGGCAGGGCCAACCTTCCATTCTGAGAAAATGTTCTCTAGCCTTGTCCTTTGTATCACAGCAAACACATACACCCTTTGTTAATTCTGAGGCAGGATTTTCAGGGCCACTGAGAGCCAAGCCAGAAAGTCACCTCCGATTCCAATTGCCCTGAGGCCAATTTACAAGGACAAAAGTATTTTGTTTTGTTTTTAATCTGCTAGGTCAAAAGGAGGTGCTCTCAGGTGACAGAGAATGACCCAGCAGCTGAACAGCGCCATCTGGTGCCCGGGAGGTGTCACTTTGACGCTTTTCTCCTTTGAACGAATCTTACATTAAGGTTTATACTAACTGTAACACACTTCTAGGGGATCCGATGCTTTCTTCTGGCCTCTGTGGGTATCAGGTATGCACGTGGTGCACAGACATACACGCCGAAAAAACACCCATACCCAAAAAATTAAAATAAAAAACAACCCAACAAATTTAGCCAGAGCTGGGGTATAGTGGCACTAGACTTGAACCCCAGCACTTGGGAGGCAGAGAAAGGCAGATCTCTATGAGTTTAAGGCCAGCCAGGGCTACATAGTGTGTCTATTTCTCAATATTTTTTTTTCAAGTCAGGAATTGGTGAGATGACTCAGTCTGATGACCTGAGTTCCATGTACAGAATCCACATGATGGACCTGATTACCACAAGTTGTTCCCTGGCCTCCATGTGCTCGCCACAGTATGTGTGCACACCCCCCATAAATAAGTGTGATAAAAAGGCAGATAAGATGGAGGTTTTCATGTTACATGGATTTCATCATAATAATGATTGGGAACCAATGAGCTTCTGCTGAGACATGATCCTTTTCAAGACTCCCCGCCACCACACGACTGGCGTTTTCTGCTTCAGAGCCTCCCCATTGCTAAGCAGCAGGCTCCATTATCTGTACCCCAGAAGCAGAGAGAAAAGTACGTCTTATCAGATGCGTGTTTCTAGTACCATTCACAGATAACGGTCCCTTAAGCATGAAACCATCTGAGCATCACGCTTGAATGCTATGTCTCTACTTTCTTAATTCTTTCAAAAATATTTATATTACATTTTATCCCGCCTGCCCCTGTGTTTGTGTGTGCACATGTCCTCTGTACTTTAGTCGAGGAGGACAATTGGAAGTTGGTTCTCTCGTTCCCCTGTGTGAGACCCAGGGATGGAACTGGGGTTGCCAGGTTCGGCAAAGAGTGCCTTTACCTGCTGGGCCATGTCAAGGGCCCTCCACTTCAATTCTAGGTTACTTTTTACTTTCAGTCCCAAATTGGCTCAGAAGAAACCAAAATGTATCATCTTTGATCTGAAGTTTGCTCTTGAACAAAAGGAGATGGAGAAGCAGCAAGCAGAAGAAAGGCTCAATCTGTTCTCTGTTCTCCTGAGGCAGAATAGAAATTCTCCTTTCCAGGTGACAACCCTGCACTGGAAACAGAAGAATGTGCAAACATGTTTTATTCATTCTGTCTGGGTTGGAAGCGTCACCCCAGCCCCTGGCAGTCATCCTTGGGGTGCCAATGGAGCGCCAAAGGAGCAAAAAGCTCAATCTCAAGACCCCTCCCCCTGGGAGTTGGCTTGGGCTGACTCCACCTCTGGGAAAGCCCACAAAACACTGACCCCTTCCCAGGGAGGGTCAGGACCACTCCTGCAGGCTATTTAGGCTTGTGCTGGAAAAAGGAACACATGGTCTCAGGGTTTGTGTGTGGACTCCCTCCTCCCTGTCTCCCTGCCCCACCATGCTTCCGTGCCACCTGGGAGCGCTGCATTCATTAAACGTGGGCATCTTGATTTGGTCTAATCTGGTCTAATTGGAGTTATTTTGTGTCAGCGAAGCGGCTCCTCTTAAGGATTTTCCCTAACACATTCACCTTCTTTCCACCATTTCTGACACTTGGAAGTCTATACACCACCACTGCCAGACATTATTTCTTTTTCCGTTTGGCAGTGCTGGGGACTGATCTCCAGTGTTGTAAATAGCAGCAAGTGTTCTGCCACTGAGATTTACTCCCAGCTCTGTAATTTATTGTTGTTTACTTTCTTTTATGTGTGTTAGTGCTTTGGCTACATGTATGTGTACCATGTGTGTGACTGGTGCTCATGAAAGCCAGAATAGAGCATCGGGTCCCCTATGACTAGAGATATAGGTAGTTATGAGACACTTCAAAGGCGCTAGAATTCAAATGTGGGTTCTCCAGAAGACCAGCCAGAGCTCTTAACTGCTGAACCATCCCTGAAACATTAGTTTAAATAATCTTAATAAAAACCAGGAGTCAGAGATCACGGTAAAAGCCTGGAAGGTCAGAGAACCAGAGAAGAAGCCAGAAGATGCTTCCTTCCCCTCTCATCTGTTATAGTTTAAGTAAAATGCTGTGGTTCCCCGAGGGAAGCAGCATCAGAAATGCTGCAGGTCCCTGAGTGGCGGCAGTGGGCAGTGGATCTCGAGACCACGGCGGGCCACGAAGGCAGCCAGTCCCAGGCAGGGAACTGCTTGGCGGGTGAGAGACCAAGAGGGATAGGCACACTATGCAGAATGAGGTTGGATATTTATTTAGTGGGTTATGAAAGGGAAGGGGGAGGAGGGAGAAGGGGGATGAGGAAAGAGAAAGAGAGAGAGAGAGAGAGAGAGAGAGAGAGAGAGAGAGAGAGAGAAGGGGGAGGAGAGGAACAGCTACCTCTTTGGGAAGAGAGATGGAAAGGAAGAGGCTCAGGCTGCAGGCAGGAAGGAAGATCTGCCTGCCTCTGCAGTGGAGGGGGGAGGGAGTGGGTGGGGCTTGCCTCTTAAAGAAACAGGAAGACCATTACCTCCCCATCTCTTTTTATAATAAAAAGGTGGGAGGTTAGGCACAACAGGTTAAAGGAATTGGGGTGACAGATTCTCAAGACTGCTTCCTGCTTATTTGTGGGCATTTTCTTGGAGGGGGGTACCTGAGAACGCTGGGTGCTGGTTACATCCTGGCGTAGCTGGTCTCTTTGCTCCTATCTGGTGCTTGTGGTATGGAACTGTCTGGTGTCTCTTACATCTGTTTAAGGTATTGGCAGAACAGAGGACAAAGTTAAGTTTAGGAAAAAAAATTTAGGACCAGGGAATTGAGAGGGTTTAAGGTGGATCCTTCAATTCAGCTCCCTGGAACTTACAAGAATTTTTTTGGATTTGTAAAGACATAAGTTTATATCACAATGACTGTGACAGATATCTTTTGCACAATGAAAAGTATTTTTAAGACTATGGAAGGCAGAATGAGAGAGAAATTTGATTAACTTGTATTTGTCCTCACACCTTTATAACTTGCAGGTACACACCTTAATAACTTGTATTTGTTATTTTACTAAAATTTGTTTGGTGAGGCTGTCCTTTTAAACTGATAAAACCTCTCAGCTGTCAAACTGCACCAGAGATCTTTGAGAAGGACAAAATTTCACTTGAGGAGTTAATGATTAAAAAACGACAGAGAACTTACTTGGTTGGCACCTAGAGCTACTCCTCAGGGTCCTCCATGGTTGCTGAAGGTCGTATTTGCCTTTTGCTGTTTAGCACAGGGCCTGTCAGACTCCAGAAGATCCTGTGGGCTAAGAAGTCTATAGGAAAACAAACCTACATTGACCTGAGCCGCTAGGCTGTCGATTCCAGTGATTCTATTCACTCTTTGGTGATCTTCAGTTTAGACAAAGGCAGTTTTGTCCAGTGGTCAGCGTTTGGCAGTAGAAGTAAATTGCAGAGGGACATTGTTCTGTGCCCAATTGTCTTCTGCCTTCTTTGGAGGAAATAGAGTGCTGCTGCTAGGAGCCAACCTGTCTCTTTTTGTTATGAAAATTCTTTTAACAATTAAATATTTAATGCCATATTCCCCAGATCTCTGAGCAGTTGAGGGCTGTTTATCAGATATAACTACAATATAGAATCTGCCTGGAGAGCTGGGTCTGAGCTTGACTGTACTGGCTCTCAACTTAACAGGTAAGATTTACACTTGTAAAAAGACAGAAAGAAAAAACTGCTTGTAATAGAAGGTTAATGGCAGAACAGACAATAGTAATATATTTTAAATCAGGGTTGGGTTAAATATACTGTATTTTTGTAGGAGACTTAAAAGTACATACCAATTTAAGACATGAAACTTAATTGCTTTGTAGTCTGGAATGAGATACAATAAACAGACAATTATAACATTTAACAGTAACCATAGGTGCATCTAAGTTACACGTGTGCCCACACACACAGAGTGAACAGCAACTAGGTGAAGAGAACGCTCTTGGTGGGCCCTACCAAAGGCATGCCACTGCACAAAGCACACAGGTAACAGAGTCAACACTGGGGAACCAGGCAGGGAATACATCAGTAAAGATGGTGGAACTTGGTCATCTGATTTGGCTCTCATTTAAGATGGTGGTGAAGTTATCTGACCTCAGTTAAGATGGTGGTAAGGTTACCTGACCTCAGTCAAAATGGCAGCCATCACGTGTTGTATGGAAGGGAGACCTAAAGGCGTGATCTGCCCTGTTGCCGAGCCACCGTGCCACAAGCCGCAGCAGGGAGCTAAGTCTGGAATTGAAAACAGCTGCCTCGTGGATCCGACCAATCTTATAGGCAGCAGGGACAGTTTGAGGAAAAGTAGAGCTGGCGCGACACCAGCGGAGCATAGTTTGAGGGTTTATACCATGGCTGAAAACGTGAAAACCCATGAGAAACACCACAGGGCCTATAGAAGACCGTCCTCTCTCTACAGTGGGGTGTTGAAGTCTGACTGACTCCGATCCAGGCAACTCAGAAGCCAGAGGGGCTAGAGGCTGCTCGGAATGGTCTCTCACAGCAGGGACCACTTACGGGTGGTCCAAAAGAAAGGAAAAGAAAGGAGAAAGAAAAATCCAAGGGACCCTGGGCCCCCAAATCGAATGCACCTCACAGCGTGTGCAGTGCTAGCGCAGGAGGACCAAGCCTGGGTCGTCTGCTCACAGTTTTAGCTATGGAAGCAACCAGAGGTGACAGGGATGAATGTCATCAAAGGGCTGATCCACAGCAGAGAAGGCTGTGGCTGGAGGCTGGAAGGGGAGAACTCACCACCGAAGCTGCTGGTGTGTGTAGAGGTCGGTGCTCAGGCAGATAGAATGCAGAGCTGTTGTAAAGAAACCTGGTTCCCCAGCCCAGGGTTCCACATTCCTGAGGGAATGTGGAGAGCCTAGCCGAGTCACAAGCACCAATGTTATGGTTTAAGTAAAATGGCACTGTTTCCCCGAGGGGTGCAGTGGCAGAAATGCTGCGGGTCCCTGAGTGACGGCAGTGGGCACCAGGCACGAGACCACGGCCAGCCACGAAGGCAGCCTGGTCCCAGGCTAGGAGCCCCCAAGTGGCCTGTGGGCCATGAGGGCCATTGGGTCCCAGGCAAGGAGCCACGTGGCCGGTGAGAGACCTCAGCAGAGTAGCAAGTCCCATGGGGAGCTGCATCCACGGTGGGTGAGAGACAGATGGATAGGCACGCCATGCAGAGTGAGGTTGGATAGTTATTTAGGGGGTTATGGAAAGGAAAGGGGAAGGGGAGGAGGGAGAAGAGCAGAGAGAGAGGCAGAGAGAGAGGGGGGGGATAGGAAGGGGAGGGGGGAGAGGAGAGGAGCCATGGTAGCAGCTACTGCTTTGGGAGAGAGAAGGGAAGAAAAGGCTCCAGGGTGCAGGCAGGAAGGAAGATCTGCCTGCCTCAGTGGTGGAGGGTGAAGGGAGTGAGCGGGGCTTGTCTCTTAAAGGGACAGGACAGACCATTACATCATCCCTCAGTCAGAAGGGCATGTACAGCCACCCGGTGGTGGCGCACGCCTTTAATCCCAGCACTTGGGAGGCAGAGGCATGCGGATCTCTGTGAGTTCGAGACCAGCCTGGTCTATAAGAGCTAGTTCCAGGACAGGCTCAAAGCCACAGAGAAACCCTGTCTCGAAAAACCAAAAAAAAAAAAAAAAAAAAAAAAAGGAAGAAAGGCATGTACCACGACCACTGCGCAGCTTCTATGGTTAACTAGTGGCTAGCTCGGCCCTCTGATCTCCAGGCAAGCTTTATTTGTCAGAACACAAACTATCACACAACACATACCTTCAGCCATTATCGTTTTTGTTGTTTGTTTAGTTTGTTTTTTTAGAAAAGGTCTGGCCATATAGCCCCAGACTGGTCTCTAACTCACATCTTCCCACCTCTGTCTTTTGAATGACATGATCTCTCCCTAACCTCCCCCCAGTGCCTACAGGCTGGGATTACAAGTCTGTGCTACCACCTGGCTCTAACTTCTTTTTGCTTGACAATGCTGTATTAGCCAGAGCGCTGGACATCTGCTTTGAGTTGTTTTATACAAGGCTTCTCCTGTGTGATGCTCATGGAGTCTGTTAATAATCCTGCTTTTTGCTTCCTGATCATCTTCATTATTTGTGTCTCGGCTAAGAGCTACAAGGGGTTATAAGAGAACTATTTTGCCTCTGACAACTGTTTTGACCATCCACATCCCAATGACCTCCATGTCAGTAGGCAAATGGTTTTCCTCAGCCTTCTTCAGCCGTTCTTAGACATTTGTCTTTTCTCTCTTCTGGAACTCATTCCTCTGGGAACGTGGACAGTGCCATGTTCTCATTTTGCTGCTCTCCTTGCAGGCTCTCCTGTGGCCGACTGCAGCTCAGCCTGCTATGGCTCTCCATATCCCGACTGCAGCTCAGACTGCTATGGTTCTCCATATCCCGACTGTAGCTCAGCGAGGAGGTTCTCCATACACCTCCTCGCAGGCTCTCCTGTGGCCAACTGTAGCTCAGCCTGCTATGGCACGGGACCCTTTTTCGTCATTTTCTTCTTTTTTCACAAATTCTCTCTCTGACTTCTCTAGTTTTGAGATGCCCATGCTGATGAGCCCCAAGTCTCTTGCCTAGACCTGGTCTTGGGGCTCCGGAATCGTGGGACCATGTGAAACATTGCAGAGCACTACGGTTGGTGCGAGACTCCCGACTTTCTCTCTGATGTCTGCATCATTCATATCTTCAAACGGTGTCCTGCACTCACTTGTGCAACTTAGAAAGGAGGAGCCATGCCTACTCTTCTACTTCCGTTTACTGCCCTTTCTCCAGTGACTAATTTGACACCAAACTCCTCCAGTCTGCCTCTGGAGGAGACCCCGATTGATCCTCCTCTTCCCATCTCCACCATCCCCCTAGGGTCTAAACTACGGTCCTCTCACTGGGACTGTGTACTGAGTGGCGTCCTGTGCCCTCACTCCAATAACTCTATCAGGCTTCAAATGAAAGCCAGAGCTGAAAAGGACCCACGTGACCAGGCCTGAACTGACCTCCTGACCTCTTGTTCTCTGTGTCCTCTCCCACAGCTTTCTTGTTTTTCTGTCTTGCCACACACCATTCCCCCTGCCTGCGGGCTTCCCTGGATCCTTTGTGGCTCTGTGTGTCTCAGCTCAGAAAGGCTCTCCTGACAGCACACACTTCCTTTCTGATCGCCTTTTACTTCCCCGTCTGCTTCTGCTGCCTTAGAAGGCACACACAACAAAAGATGCAAGTATCATGTACATTTGCATACTTGCTCGCTCATCTCCGCGCCACTCGGGTTCCCTCTGAATGCAGAGCTTGCGCTCTTTCAGGGGAGGAATCTCCTGGCCCCACATCTCACAGGCACCATTCTTGCCTTGTTCATAGCCACACCCCAGTCGAGTGCCTGGCACATGGCTAGTGCTCAATAAATATTTCCTGCATGAATAAAAGATGGGAAGAGAGTAAGTAAAGAAACCCGCTCTATGCCTTGCCTTGCTATGCTTCCAAGAAACTTAAACTCTCTTGGAAGGCCATTAGAAGCAGGAACATGCACATCACAAATAAATACTGATGGGTTTCTCCACATGAATATTCGATAGCGTGGTGCTTCTGATGGTTGTGCTGTAAACAAGCCTATCTGTGGACACAGATACTGCCCCTGTCTCTCTATATACTGTTCTGCAATCCCTCACATTGCCCTTCAATAATCTACCTCGGACCCTGCCAACCCAGCTTTATTGTTCCCCCTCACATGACCCGTGTGCCTCGCTGAAACTGAAGCCTTCAGGGAGCAAGCCCTTGCTTCTCCACCACCTCTCTTTCAAGCCCCTTGGCAGGGATGCAGCAAAGAGGAGTCCACATCGTCATCAAAGGCGCACGCACCTGTCGCTGAGTCCCGTTCCCTCTTAGTTTCTATTCATGGATTCTGGACTGTTCCTCAGATTCTCCCCGTAACCTAGAGGTGCCTCGCGGCACTTAAAACGCCCAGCTCTTCCCTCTCGTTGTGCTGGGTGGAGGAAAGGTCAGGACGCCCCGCCCCTTCCCATTTCCCTGGCAGCTGTCCTTCAGAGTCAAATTTCTCAAAGAAATTTCAGGCCAGGCACTGCCTACACACTCTGCGTACCACTGTTTTTAGCGATATCGAATCAGTTTTGTTCCTCACTCCACAGACAGAGCTCGTGAGTGGATCATGAGTTGCTCAAGAGCCATTTTAATTGATATTTAAAAAAAAAAGAAAAAAAAAACGAAGGAAGAAAGGACAATTTTTGTTACTGTCATGGAGGGTGTCAGAGAAAAACAGCTTACCAGTTCTAGTCAACTGGTAAAATAGTTACCACCACAGAGGCAAGACGCAGGCGCTTACGTCTGTCTGAGGAAAGGCGGCACAGGCTTGAGCTTGTGAAGCAACGTTTATGGCAGGCCATTGTTTGGACTGACCAAGCCAGAGTGGGGCTGCCAGAACCAGTGCCATGCAATGAACTTGAGAAGGACCAGCTTTCTGAAAGCAGGCTCTAACAGCAGCAATCACCCGATATGAGCTGGCGTGAAAATTCCCTGTGAGCTAACCCCATAACCCCTAACTGTGCAGCTGGGCATTGGGTTACAGCATCAGCAATGATAATAAATAAATACTAGTGATAATAATTGTTGAAGTATAATATTAAAAGTTTTTAAATGCTTCTACTTCTAGAAAAAAAGATTAGTTTTTTTTTTTTCCGAGACAGGGTTTCTCTGTGTAACTTTGGAGCCTGTCCTGGAACTAGCTCTGTAGACCAGGCTGCAAACTCACATAGATCTGCCTGCCTCTGCCTCTCAAGTGCTGGGTTTAAAGGCGTGTGTCACCACTGCCCGGCATGATGTCTGTTTTTGGTTGTTATTTGACTTCATCTGCAATGACTTCACTCTAGAAATGGAGGGCATGTCTGTGAGAGATACTCTGCTTGGTTTGAAGTGGGTGAACCCACTTTGAATCTGGACCTCTGGGGTGGGAAGCCACACCTTTCCCCGGCCTCCCCTTCTGCTGGAAGCCTATATGGACATGGAAGAAGGAAAATTTGCTCTTTACTTGCTGGTTCTCGCCTGTCCAGCATGTCCATTCCTCGGCGGGTATGGTCCTACTTCCTCAGAATTCCAGTGTCTTCTGCAGACCAACCGAGACAGCCAGCCTCGCGGGCTGAACAACTTCTGGATTCTTGGACTTTCCAGGCATAGCCAACCACAGTCTAATTCATTCTAATAAGTCCCCATGTGTATATATGGAGATTTATTCTGTAAGCTTTTCACTCTAGAGAACCCCGACTAATACAATCTTTAAGCACTTTTTCCAAGTGGTGTCATAGTTCTTTAATAGGCTTCAAATGAATAAGAGTTATGAAACAAATAAGAGGTGATAAGGATTGCGTTCTTCGTACATATCTTGGTGCACTTTTGTCTCCTTGGCAAAGGGGTCCAGTTTCCAGACAGGTGACAGAGGCACAAACATTCCTCCTGCAGCTGCTGTGCCTCAGTTGCCATTATTTCAAGCAGTCCTGATGCCAACACAGCACATTTTCCATTTTGGGGTGGCATATTCTGTCCCCCAGAATTCAGACTTATTACAGCAGCAGTGAGCCCCAAGCAAACAACCAGCAACTTAAATAATGTTAAAGTTTAATGAATGTCATCTTGCAATCTTCCCCACTGCCCTTCAGTAGTCAGCCTTGGCCCCTGCCAGCCAGCAAACATCATTGCTCTGTCTGCAATTCGTTCCCATACTCTCAGTGGGGATTTGTTGCCAGTGTCAGCATCCACCTCACGGTCGCTTTTCCTGGAAGATGTCAAGGGGAATTTTCAACTTACATTTTTCTGGATCTTTTGGTAACTTTTGGTACTGAAAGCCAGTTTCCCCTAATAGCAGTCCTGTTGGCTCCAGCATCACTGTGTTCCCCTGGCCCTCAAGCAGACTCCAGACACACCCCTCAGTCCTGTCAGAGGCCAGGCCGCACACGGCACAATCTGCACCTCTTTTCAGTTCACCTCTAAAGCCTGTTCGTTTCTGACTTTCTCCTCCATCCTTATCAAACCCACCCACCTCTCTTCCTCTTCCAGCCTTTGATTTGCCAAGGAAGCTTGATGGGTCCCCACACTGGCCATTGTGCTTTCTGGTGCCCTTAGTACTGTAGCCCAATGAACAGGTAAATAATGAATTTAAAGCCTTTCAGGAAAAGATCAGAAGTTAGCATGTGTCCCAACACCCCCTTCCCCGAGCTGACTCTACCAGCTACATCCTGCTCTCAGCTCCCCCCTTCTTCAAACATCCTTCAGCTCCTCTAAGCAGACCCTTTCCTCCCTCAGGACCCCAGGGGTTTTCCCTGTCTGAAATCTTTCTCTTCTGACCCTTTCTATTTAACCCTCTATTTCCTCCTCCTTCCTTAGGCTTATTTATTAGTTTATGTGTGAGTGTTCTGCATTTATCTATCTGTGTGCACTATGTATGTTCCAGGTGTCTACTGAAGCCAGGAGAGGTCTTAGATCCCCTGAAACTGGAGTTACGATGGTTTTGAGCTGTCATACGGGTGTTGGGCACTAAAACAGTTCCCCTGGGAGAGCGGAAAGTGCTTTTAACCTCAGCCGTTGCTCCAGTCTCATGCAGAATTATCTTTTAAAATATCTCCTCTCCAATCCAAATATTTGCCTTATTAATTTAGTCATAGAAAAGTTTCAAATCAGGGCTCAGGATGTAGAGGCAGGAGAATTGCTACAAGTTCATGGCTGGCCTGTCTAAAAAGGCTACATAGATCATGTCTTTTAAAAATAAATCCTTTCTCTAAAAAAGAATATATGTTCTGTGTGTATATATGTATACATGCGCTGTGTGTGTATGTATACATGTGCTGGGTATATATGTATATATTGCTGTGTGTGTATATATGTATATATGTGTTGTGTGTGTATATATGTATATATTGCTGTGTGTATATGTATACATGTGCTGTGTGTATATGTATACATGTGCTGTGTGTATGTATGTATATATGTACCGTGTGTATATGTATACATGCGCCGTGTGTATATGTATACATGTGATATATGTGCTGTGCGTATGTATATATGTGCTGTGTGTATGTATATGTATACATGTGCTGTGTATGTATATATGTATATGTGTGCTGGGTATGTATATACATGCTACGTGTATATGTATACATGTTCTGTGTGTGTATATATGTATATATGTGCTGTATATATGTGCTGTGTATGTATATGTATACACATGCTGTGTGCATATATGTATATATGCACTGTGTGTGTATATATATACATGTGCTGTGTGTATATATGTATACACGTGCTGTGTATGCACATATGTATATATTGTTGCGTGTATATGTATATATGTGCTGTGTATGTATATATATATGTATACATGTGCTGTGGGACAATGGTGTTGTACCCTGTAAAGGCTTGTCAGTTGTATTGATTTAATAAAAGGCTGATTGACCAGTAACCAGGCAGGAGATATAGACGGGGCAACAAGAACAGGAGAATTCTGGGAAGAGGAAAGGCTGAACCTGCAGTTGAAACCCAGATGCAGAGGAAGCAAGATGAGAATACCTCACTGATAAAAGGTACCAAGCCCATCTGTCTGACACAGACATGAATTATGGGATAATATAGATTGTAAGAATAATATATTAATAAGAAGCCTGAGCTAATAAGCCAACCAGTTTATAATTAATGTAGATCTCTGTGTGTTTCTTTGGGACTGAACAGCTGTTGGGCCGTGATGGAGAAAGGACATTGGTTAATTATAATAAAGAAACTGCCTTGGCCCATTTTATTGGTTAGAACATAGGTGGGTGGAGTAAACAGAAGAGGATGTTGGGAGAAAGAAGCTGAGTCAGGAGTCGCCATGATTCTCCCACTCCAAACAGACAGGTTAAGATCTTTCCTGGTAAGCCAGTTTGTGGGCTACACAGATTATTAGAAATGGGTTAGATTAATATGTAAGAGCTAGCCAATAAGAAACTGGAACTAGCCGGGCCAGGCAGTGTTTAAAAAAATACAGTTTCCGTGTAATTATTTCGGGCATAAGCTAGCCATGTGGGTGGCCGGGTGCCGGGGACGCAGCCCTGCCGCTCCTAATTCAACAGGGCCGGGCAGGACAGAAACCTCTGACAACATGTGTGTGTTTATGTATATACCTGTATGAATTGATGTGCACCACATGAATGCAGGAGTCAGCAGCAGTTGGATCTCCTGGACCTGGAGTTACACATGGTTGAGAGCCACCAATTGAGGGCTGGAACTAAACCCCCAGGTCCTGCGATAGCACTCACTGAGCACGCTAAACCTCTGCGCCATCTCTCTAGCCCCTTATTCCTTTTTTAATTTTCAAATACATCCCAGGTTGTTTTTTGTTTGTTTGTTTGTTTTTTTTTTTTTTTCGACAGGGTTCTCTGCTAGCCCTGGCTGTCCTAGAACTTACTTTGTAGACAAGGCTGGCCTCGAACACACAGAGATCTGCCTGCCTCTGCCTCCCTGAGTGCTGGTATTAAAGGCCTGGGCCACTACTGGTGACATTTTTATTTTAAAACCCCAGTTTTAAATTCCTGTATGTCCATCCTCAAAACACTAGGAGTACTTTTGTTCAGTCTGCTCACTCCTGAAGAAAGAGATTCTGAGGAGTAACAGATGCTGTTGTGTGTCTGAGAGGAACCAGAAGGAAGCTCAGTCAGGGAGCTGAGCTTTCTGGGGCTCTAGTTCAATACAATAAGAACACAGCCCAGAGCGTGTTCGGAACCGCTGAGAACCTCTCAGAACCTCTCAGAACCTGGCTCTTCAGGAGTTTCTGCCATGTGGGTTTTGCTTCTTGGCAAAATCTTTAAAATAAATAATAGAAAAGCCCCAAAAGGTTTTTCAGCTTCTCTCCCCGAAACCAGAACAGGATCATTTCCTACATTAGGCCCAGCTAATGTTTTATCTGATTTAATTTTTAATATTTTGGATA